TCTCTGACGCTGGATCATAGCTTGAAAGACCTTATAGACACTGTTGAGTCTTTGTTCACTCGCCCCCCTTCTCTGTTTTGTTGGCCTTCGGAAGAGAAGTGAAACTGTTAACAGATTTTGATAATTAGGTCTTATCTGGGTGCCTCTCTGTCTGTCTATGTCTCTGTCTGTCTGTCTCCTTGGTCTTCACCTGTCTCTTCCACCCGTCGGGGGTTTATCGATACTCGTTCTCTTCTCTGAATTAATGAGTGGGTGAAAAGGTTAGTTCGTTGTGTATCTCTCTCTCTCTCTCTCTCTCTCTCTCTCTCTCTCTCTCTCCTCTCTCTCTCTCTCTCTCTCTCTCTCTCTCTCTCTCTCTCTCTCTCTCTCCCTCTCTCTCTCTCTCTTCCTCCGCTAACTTCCTCGTTTATCGTTTCCTGGTTTCTGTTTGTAAAACGGGGAGCAGCGCGTAGAGTGAGAGGGGGAGGAGAGAGAGAGAGAGAGAGAGAGAGAGAGAGAGAGAGAGAGAGAGAGAGAGAGAGAGAGAGAGAGAGAGAGAGAGAGAGAGAGAGGGGGGGGGATAGAAGGGGAGAGGGAGGAGAGAGAAAGAGAGAAGGGTGAGAGATCGAGTAGAGGAAGACTGAGAAAATGACTTCCTCCACTCTCTCTCTCTCTCTCTCTCTCTCTCTCTCTCTCTCTCTCTCTCTCTCTCTCTCTCTCTCTCTCTCTCTCTCTCTCTCTCTCTCTCTCTCTCTCTCTCCCTCCCTCCCTCACTCTCCCCCTTTCCACGGCCCTTCTCTTCTCATTTATTTCTTCTCACTCTCATCACCGCTTACACTCTCTCAGGAAATGACTGTTAACTGGTCTCTACTGAGCCCCTCAACAGTCGCAACCGCCCCCTTGAGGGGTGTGGGGGGGGGGGGAGGGGGAGGGTTGGATGGAGTGGTGTCGGCGATAAAGGATTTGTGAGAATATTTTAAATGATTAAAATCCATTCACCTGGGCTCTTAGAGGCTTGAACCCTGGACCCCCACGAGTGTTTGAGGCCGAAGCTCCTAAAAAAAAATAACTACAACTACAAAACTACAAAAACCTCAAAAAAAGCTAAATTATCAGAATTATAATTGACTTTATTGCTGTTTTTTTCATTATTAATATTATCGGAGAAGAATTATCGTATTTATTTGAAGTTATTAGAATTAATAACCTATTACTCTTAGTTATTAGAATTATTCTGTTATCATTTATGGAATTAATCTTTTTTTTAGGGGTAAGTTTGATGCGGAATTTTAGTAATTATGAAATTATTGAAATTCATTATAATTTATTCAGAATTATTCATTATTGTTGAATTATTCAGAGCTGTTGAATTAGAATTATTTAGAGTTGTTGAATTAAAATTATTTAGAGTTGTTGAATTAAAATTATTTAGAGTTGTTGGATAATGAAAATTAAAAATTTCGTGAATTGTCAAATATAATGATAGGTCAAGGTCACATATTGACAGGTCAAGGCCATATATTGATAGGTCAAGGTCACATATTGACAGGTCAAGGCCATATATTGACAGGTCAAGGCCATATATTGACAGGTCAAGGCCATATATTGATAGGTCAAGGTCACATATTGACAGGTCAAGGCCATATATTGATAGGTCAAGGTCACATATTGACAGGTCAAGGCCATATATTGACAGGTCAAGGCCATATATTGATAGGTCAAGGTCACATATTGACAGGTCAAGGCCAAATATTGACAGGTCAAGGCCATATATTGATAGGTCAAGGCCAAATATTGACAGTTCAAGGCCAAATATTGACAGGTCACACTTAGATATTAACAGTTCAAAGATCTTATATTGATTTACTTGATCATACTTTTGTTCTCTTACAATGAAACTTATATACACAGTTAATAATTAGCATTTGAATACTCATAGTTGAATACTCGATCAAACAAAGAGGTATTTGAGATCAACCAATCACTCAAGCATTCAATAGGTGCAAGTTGACTTCAAGCATATATTAGAGAGATCGACTAAGGAGAAGACAATATAAGTTTCTATAATACCCAAACGTTTCCGTTCGCGACAACTTTAAACTCTCTGGAAAATTATCCCCATGAAAACGACTGACTTACACTGTCAATCTTTTTCCCAAAGTAAAGAATTATTTTGAATTATGAATTTATTATATAATTTAAATACAGGCTATTGTGAATTTGGTTATAAAGCAGACTCTATAAATGCTCTATGCTCGAAGTACAAGCAGTTCTTAGGAGCGATCTCCTGCTATAGCTCTATCACAGAGCACACCTCTAAGATCTTAAGCAAAATGGAATTCATTTTTGAAACCTAAATATATTTTTTGGTTATCTAAATATACTTGTTAACGGAACTTAGTAAATGTCAATCAGAGAAAAAGGGAGAGAGAGAGAGACAGAGAGAGAGAGAGAGAGAGAGAGAGAGAGAGAGAGAGAGAGAGAGAGAGAGAAAAGGATTTTATCCGAGGGTTTTATTCCCAGTGTAATTACGAGTGGGGTAATAACGCCTGGTAGTGGGTTGAGGGGAGTGGGGGCCACCCTCATCCTGGGAATCAATATAGTTCAGGGAAGTTGAGAGGCAGAAAAAGCAACTGCTGGGGTCTGAGGGAGAGTGAGTTGAACATGAAGCTGTCAATTGAGAGAGAGAGAGAGAGAGGGGGAGAGACAGAGAGAGGGAGAAAGGGAGAGACAGAGAGATTGACAATGAGAATGACAGAGAATTAGGAGATTCGTAAAAATTCTTCACATTAAAATTCCAGGAACAGTCAGCATTTTTGTATGTGCTCTGGACTCAATGAAATACTAACTGGCCAAACTAACCTCCTTTGTCACACAGATTCCAGCAGGTCGTGGCCGTACGACCACACATAGCTACCTATTACCTGGAAGGCCGCAATGCTGGAACCAACCTGTTTTCCAGAGACTGGCCTGGAACTCTTGCTGGAAGCGACTGTTGCGTGCGATTGATTCCCAGAAGTATTAGTTTGTATAGTAGACTAGAAGAACTTGTGCACGAAATATATGACGTACGGGAAAGGACGGAGTAAGAGAAGGTGGGAGGGGGGTTTAAGACGTGGGAGAATCGAGGAAGGACAGATTGAGAGGCATGGAGGAAACGAGGATAGAAATTGGGATAGAGAGAGGAAAGAAGGAAGATGGAGAGAAGTGTAGAGTCAACCATATCAGTGTGCAACAGAAACTTTGTCTCGTTATCCAATTGAGTGTTTTATTTTGAAATAATTAATGTGCCTGTGTAGCAACTAGGGCAAGTAACCCATGTTCACTGAATCTTTAGGCTAGGCCTATAATTTATATTCGACTACCAAACAGGAGTGGACAAGGCTCTGAGGCTCAAGTTAATGTTGGACTTGGTCGCGAATCCTTTGGTGAGGGAAAAAAACTAAATAAGCTTCTCAAGACACTCTTACACGTCCTTTAATTTCTCAAGACACACACGCCCTCGTCAACGGAAAAGTTGATCGCTTCTGGCAGAGAAAGTTGATTCTCTACCACCACCACCATCACTATGATCACCACCATCACTACCACCACCACCACCACTACCACCACCACCATCACCTCCACCATAACTACCACCACCATGACTGCCACCACCACCACTACCACTACCATCACCTCCACCACCATCACCGCCACCAACAACAACATCCCACCACCACCACCACCACCACCCCCTCTCCACCACCACTACCACCACCACCTCCACCACCACCAACCCCAACACCACCATCACCACCAACACCACCACTACCACCACCACCAACACCACCACCACCACCACCACCACTACCACCTCCACTACCACCACCACCACCAACACCACCACCACCACTACCACCACCACCTCCACCACCACCAACCCCAACACCACCATCACCACCAACACCACCACTACCACCACCACCACCACCACCACCACCACCACCACCACCGGGTCCCTGGCGGCGTCAACCACTAAGGGGCATCATTGATTTTTCTTCTAGCCAAGACGTCCGGTAACGCAGTGAACTTGAACTTAAGCTTGAACGCAACGATTGACGCCGTTCTACGGGCTCACCATAGCCCGTGCTACTTGGAACTTTTTTTTCCAAGGAGCGAATCTTAAACAACAACGATTGACGCCTATCATCCAGCGCGTGACGCAAAGTGACGTGCTTCGACGTGACGCAATGGGACATATTGTGTAACTAATTATGTCGTGGCGTAGTTATTGCTTTGTTGCAGAGAACTAAGTTGAAAACGAGTTCTTTCTTGCAGCTCATATACGCCGTGACGCAGAATCTCATATATACGCCGTGACGCAGAATCTCATATATACGCCGTGACGCAGAATCTCATATATACGCCGTGACGCAGAATCTCATATATACGCCGTGTCGCAGAATCTCATATATACGCCGTGACGCAGAATCTCATATATACGCCGTGACGCAGAATCTCATATATACGCCGTGACGCAGAATCTCATATATACGCCGTGACGCAGAATCTCATATATATATATATATACGCCGTGACGCAGAATCTCATATATATATACGCCGTGACGCAGAATCTCATATATATATACGCCGTGACGCAGAATCTCATATATATATACGCCGTGACGCAGAATCTCATATATACGCCGTGACGCAGAATCTCATATATATATATACGCCGTGACGCAGAATCTCATATATATATACGCCGTGACGCAGAATCACATATATAAATTTAAATTTTTAAATTTTGCCCCGAGGGGCGAGTTTATTGGGCAGCGCCACTCATCTTGTGAGTGGACACACCGCTATAGCAGCATGTACAACACTCCCCAATAGGAAGAAACCCCGCTGGGTTGTTCATCCTGTCACTTGTACCCAGACACAGCTGGGACTTGCTTAACTGTCTCAAGTGAACAGCTCCTCAAACAAGAAGATTAACATATATCAACCCTTAAAAGCTTACATATATCTATA